AGTAACCACAAAACTTTTTCATTTATTATTTTTTATCAAATGAAAGATCATGTTGATATGATATTGTTCTTGCGTATATGCTCGCCAATAATATGTATTTACTAGCTATTGTATTTTTTTTTCATAGAATAAAATGTTTAACATTTACATATTTAACTTTTCGAATTAAAAGAAATTAATGCATTGTTGTATTTAGTCTAGACTTAAAATAGTGAAAAAATTAGATTGATTGACGTTACATTTTATATAGTTCAAAGACTTGTCTTTTTTCATTGTCAAACACTCACTTATTTTTTTTTATTGATTCTCAATAAACACAACTTGACAACCAGACAAGAGCTGTAAAGTTCAGCACATTCTCAACACATAAAAACGAAAAAGAAATTGCTGAAATTGGCTTTTCAGCGTGAACGGAAACGACACGAAAAAAAGTTGCCGCATGACTCTAGTATAATGACGTCGTTTACTTTTGGTGTTGTAGTTTAGTGGTAAATGAAAATATCGAAAAGGAAAAATGTCGAAACTATATATCGAAAAAAAGTGATGTCTCCAGTTTACTGTTGTTCTTTTCGTTAGGATGTGCAAGTGGGTCTTCTCTTCGCTCAAACCAATATCCACACCCATACGCCAAACCGAACCGGTTCCATCTCTGATAGACAATACAGAAAGAGAAACGCAGTTTTGAATCTACTCAAGGCAGAATTCTCGATCTGATTTTATCATTGGAGTATCATAACTTGATTGAATAGCTGTCGAAAATATCTGTTTCTGTCATCTTTTTCGACGTGTTGTTGCTGAGATTACCATTCGCTCCGGTTCGTCAGATGTTTTCATATTATATAAACCTTAGCTAGTTACAAAAAAAAGTTAATGCAAATAAGAAGAAAATATCTATGGGACAGATCTTTAAGATAATAGTCACACTTGATTAAAATTGTTCAAAAAAAATATGGAATGTGTCTCCTTTAAACAGAAAAACTTTGATAATAGATCAGAGGTTTACAAATCCTCTTTTGATAGAAAAAGATTGTTTCGAAAAATATTCGTAAGAAAAAATTAATAAAGTCA